GTCTGTCTGTAAGATGAAGAGAAGCTAGAAAGCTCAATTTACTTTCACGAGCACAACACTGGGCGACAAGTAACGCTGCAAAATTACAGCTCCTACAACTTCTTGTTCAGTTTAAATCTGGAGTTGGCATGATACCAATTTAAACTTTGACGTGTGCGTACATGACAGCTAGCAGGGCTGAATTTGCGGGCTGAATTTGAAATCTTTGGATTAGATGGGGTCAGGGAACAAGTCTGGGAAGTTTCAGCCTCCCAACTTGCGCCGTTTCCGAAAACGCTTTCCCGCTAAAAAAAATTTCATGTGCCCGTACGTGAGAAACACATGGAAGTGAGCGTCCATTTTGAGGAAGAAGGCCTGCAGGCATGTGTAGATTAAGCTACCAAAATTTTACTCTTGTAGCTTTTGTGGATCTCGAGATAAAAATTCGTTACAGACGCGCACACGGACACACAGACAGTCCCTCGACAACATGCTTTTGCATCGCATGGATGTAAAAAATGCATAAAAATTTGGAATAAATAAAGGAAAAGATATCCCGAAATATTTCTCGCAGCCCCGACATCACTAAGAGATCTACGCGCATTATAAACTGCTTCATCATGCCCGTTGTGTTTTCATGTATTCGATTCATCGAACTAGCATGTGAGCGCAAATTCTATCACATATGTTTGATGATGACAATCTTCAACTATGCCTGTTCATCTGTCATATGAAGCGGTTGTTTCTTAAGCTAAATATACCTTCAGCAACTGTGTTACAGTTCCAACAACAGCATTCTTTTTGATTATCTGTTCAAGTGCAGCGTGATACTGATTGATGGTGGCTTCCATCATCGTCGAACTTTCATCGTCCTCAATCTAAAATCCCTCATCGCCTAGCAATAATCAGAATCACAGATCACATAAAGATCTCACCAAAAGTTTTCTTAAGAATTGTAAAAAAGGTTCAAGCAATAGATTCTATCATGAAAGAGCATAAAGCGAAGGAAAACAGAGGAAAAGCTCGCAAATCTAAAAATTCAGAAGCAATAAAGGATAGAAAGAAAATAACATAACAAACTTATACTTTGAAAGTCGTCGAAATGCTTTTATTCGTAACTGTATGAGGCGCAAAATTCTTTGAAGCTGCCTAGAAAACGAGTCAAAAAAAGACGGCATATGTTCAAATTAAGGTAATTCGGTGAATTACAATGAAACTTTTGGATGATACCAGAAAGTCATTTCGACTACATCCATTGCAATAGAATGAAAGCGAAAGACAAAGCAAACACCACAGAATTGAAAAAAGACACTTTCTCTTAGCAAATTTAAATTAGAAAAAATATTCCAGAACTGACCGACTTTAGGCCGCTTCGTTCGCGACACAGCGGGAAGGTGTAATTTGTTAAAACGTATCCGATTTGCCAGATATCGTCATCGGCCATCACCGGCTCCAAAGCACTGTTAATAAGTGAATAAGTTATGAAAAAATTAACTTGTTAAACAAGTGTCAGTTGTTTTAAACATGCAATAATTGGAATTAAGGACAATGAAGCGGATGTGTAGATCTACAAGAAAACATGTAATTAAAAAACAACTGAAACAACTAAATTTAAAAAAAAAAGAAAGGCGCAGTGAGTACAGTGAAACATACTGCATGTTTAATTACAGATGAGTTTAAGAGGATCTTATTTGTGCTCTAAGTCACTTTTAACCTATTATTATGCGTTTTTTGCTGTGCAACAGCAATACGAAACGCATACTGTCACGGGCTTGTCTGTATGTGTGTTTGTGTGTGTGTACCCGTAGCAACTTGTCCGCAACTTTCAACTCGAGAACCACAAAAGCTAGGAATCTGAAAATTTGCAGGAACATTCCCCACCCACGTGCGACCCCGCAAAATTAAAATTCAGCCTCCCTTTACTCGCGGGTAACACGTACGGCCCCATAAAAGTTTGGAGAGATAAAACTATTATCACGAGAACCACGGAGGTTAGAAGGCTGAAATTTTGCGAGCTTGCCCTCCGCCCATGTGCTACCCAGAAATTTTAAATTCAGCTTTCCTCTGCCTGCGGGTAATATGTACAACCCCGTGAAAATTTTTGCGGGCAAATTATTATCTCGGGAGCCGCAAAGTCTACGAAGCTGAAATTTTACAGCAGTGACCCCTAATCCATGTGCGACCTTACAAATTCAAATTCAGTGTTCCCGCGCTCTCGGGTACCACTTATGACCTCATGAAAATTTTGGCCGGTAAACTATTGTCTCGGGAATCACGGAAGGATATTCACCTTTCAAGGTTTCGAATTACAAAGGAATGAAAATCATTAACAGGTAATCGTTCGGTGATCGGAACTGCACAAAACGCATGAACGCACCCGCTATTCTGGTGCGCGTTGCTATTTATTGTTTTTCATGCGCCAGAGGTGCTTAAAAAACGAGAAAAAATGAACAAAAATAAAAAAAGAGGACAGGTGTGAGCATTGACGAACTGCATAGAACAGTGCATCTAAATTTTTCTTCTGAACAGTGCATTGACGATATGCAAAAAATGGATTGTCCATGAAATCGACTATGAAAAAAGAGGTAAGTTAGAAAATTCCAGAGTCACTGTCTGGAAATCTCGAGCTTTTACGCAGTGTTTTTTGTTGCAAATCCTAAGAGTTGTGAACAAACTTACACAAGTGCAGCAACAGCTTTGCCAGCAAGCAACCTCACAGAATTCGACAGCGTTTCTGGCAGTTCGCACTCAATATAGTTCTGAAATGATTGTTCATATTAGTAAGCATAACATCGAAAATGTCCATGGCGCACCATGTCCTATTCGGAACTACCGCGCTTTCTACTTATAAATGCTTATTTTCTACTATAAAAATACTTTGAAATAAAAAAACTTTAGAATTTAACACTCCATAAAGTTTTGAGATTAATACAGCGTATCTTGTCAAGAAAGGGATACCAAAGCACTAACCCGTATATGGTTAAGCAATTCGCTACGAGCCTCTAGGTGGTAC